TTCTGAAATAGGCGAGGAGATCCGGCAACATAACAGCAACAAACCGATGACCAAACGAGTGCAACTCGATAGCAATGGACAGCGATTCAATCCGCCAAATTCCAGAAATTCTTAAGCTAAAATCTATCTTTGTCTAATTTAAATGAATTTCTATTGGTAGGGGTACAACCTCTTTCCTAAAGCAAAGTAAGGAATAGAAAAGGTTCTTTTCTGCTATTCTTTCTACTTCCAGCGATTCATATGGTGTTTTATCATATAATCCTGTTAACTCCTGTTTTATCAAAGTAACCAACGTACATTATTAGAAATTGAACTTAGGCCTCAAACTTTTACGAATTTCCTTTTTATGCCAATAAAGTTTCCTGAATAACTCAAATCGCACATAATTCTCCTGCTATACGAGCAGTCAAATCACGAGCGTGTCAAGATATCGTTGGATACACATTATCTTACTGTGGAACAGCAATTACGTTTCAAAGATTCAGAAGCAAGGACAAGCAAACACTTAATTCGGCTAATGCTTTTCTGATTCAATTCATTTTCAATTTTTCCTTAAGTATTATACAAACCCCTTTTCTCTCTCTCTCTCTCTCACACACAGTAAAACCTCAAAAACTCAGCTTTCGTGAGTAGCTCTAAAAGGTACAATTTTTTCTCTAATTCTTCCGTTTTCTTGAATTGCTCCTCAGAATACTATCTGGGCCTATGCTTCTTGTGCGAATCTTGAATTTTTCATGCTGTTTTCTTGATTCTGTAGATCCACATGCTTAGATTTGTTAGTCTGTGCCCATTAGGGTTTTGGAGTTATTGTCTTTAGGGTGATTCTTGATATGTAAAGTTGAAAATTTTCTGCTCTTCTTGTACCCAGATTCTGTAACTATGGATGAGCAAGAAGGAGTAAGTAGAGTCAACAGTGTTTCAGAGCCCACTGTGGGTAATACTGTTGATGAAACCCTAGTAGAGAATTTGCGATGTGAGGGGCAGGCTTATAGTGAGGGGGATGGTGGGGAGATAATGGTGGAGGTGGTAGGCTCTGATGTGTTTGTTGATGGGGTTTGTGGTGATGGTGCTGAATTGGGGCATGAGGGATCGGGAAAAGGAGTTGACGCTTATAGGGATTCTCTGTCAAGGGATGCTGAGGACTCATCTGGGAATACTGGAAATGGTGTTGAAGTTGTACTTGATGTTGCAAGGTCATCTGGGGATGTTTCTGTGACGTCTAGTGCTGAAATTGTTCCGAATGTAACAGCTTGTACTGTCGTACAGCAAGTCAGCTTCAGTGATGCTGAGGGTAATGTTGTCAGGAGCACTGAATCTGTTGGTTTGACTTCACCTGATGTTGTGGGTGATGTTTCCAAGGCAGTGGACAATGAGGCTGTGAGTGAAACAGCTGATAGAGTTTTGGAGCAAGTCAACATCAGAGTTAGTGAGGAGGGGAATGTTGTGGGAAGCTCTGTATCTGTTAAAGGGAGTGCTGATTTGACACTGCAAAGAGTGGGTCTTTCTGATGATGGGGTGTGGAATCCTGGAATTGAACCTCTGTCTGGATCTTCTTCATTTGTGCCCCAAGACAGTTCTAATATTGAGGCTAGCAATTTGAGATTGGATTCTTCTGAAAAAGATGAAACTTCAGTCACAGAGATGGTTGGCCAGGCTAGTGACAAAGATGTTGCCAATCATGCAAGGGATCAGATATCAGATCATCTAGCTGAAAGAGTTGTGTCAGGGGATGGTGAGTTGGTAGAAAAAATACATTCAGAGGTTGAAACCATGGAAACCGATGCCCCTGATCAAGAGAAAGATGACTTGAGCAACAAGGATGAGAATTCACATACTGATGTTGAAACCATGGAAACCGATGCCCCTGATCAAGAGAAAGATGACTTGAGCAACAAGGATGAGAATTCACATACTGATGTTGAAACCATGGAAACCGATGTCCATGATCAAGAGAAAGATAACTTGAGCAACAAGGATGAGAATTCACGTACGGATGTTGAACCCATGGAAACTGATGTGTATGATCAAGATGGTGGGTTCCCTAACAAGGATAATAATAGCAATTCTGTTGATGACACAGTTTCTTTGAGACCAAACAGTCCAATCCCTGAAGATAAGGGAGGGGCTATCAGGGTAGTTAGTGGTGATTCAAGATTATCAGTTGACCACACCCCAGTTGTACATGATCACTCCTTAGGCATCAATGGTAACACTGCGCCATCGTACCCTGGGAAGCAAGAACATAGCTTGAAGGAAAATTTGGCAGCAGAGAATGGGGCTATTGGTTCTTCTTGTGAAAAAGCAAACCATGCTGAGGTTCGGGTATTTAAGGTTGATGCCATGCATGAAGAAAAAAGCGATCTTGCTTTATGTGCACAGCCAGAAGCTTCTCATTTGCAAACCCAAACTGGCAATCTTAAGGAGGTGTCTATGGATGGTAGTGAGGTCTCAATTTTAAAGATACCAGTATCCAGCGATAAAGATGGGATCTTAAGTGGTTCAGACGAGTTGCCAAATATACAGCCTAAGGTAGCAGATGGAATTAGTGAAATTTCTAGTGATGATCTCCCACTGTCTTCTGAACAGGCGAGTGCTCATGATCCAGGAAACTTTGAGGAGATGGAAGTCGAGGGGGTTCGTCATGAGACAACTGGCACTATGACTTTTCCCATGAATGATGAAAGTCTGAATGTAGTGAAGGTTGATGCCAGGTTGGAAAATGACGCTGGAATTGAACCCTTGGAAACCTCTCATGAACCAGCTTGCAGAACTGATGGAGATAGTGTTGAAATGGACAGGGATGGGGATGCCCAGCTTGGAACTGCCACAACAAGCTTAAGTTGCACCGTGGATAAAAATATTTTAATAGCTGAAACAACAGTGTCCATAGAGACTATGGCTAGCACAGGAGAGATGAACACGATGGATGAAACAAACAGAGTAACCCACTTCCTGCCGGAAGGCTTGGACGGGAACATGTCGCTGCAGCGTGTTGAGAACGAGAGCTTATTGCCTTTTGATGACTATGCAGGAAAAGAAGGCGATCCCAAGGTGACTGCAGTGTCATCTAACGATGATGTTATGACTGAGACTTCATTACTTCAGGATACTGACAAAACTTCAGATTCTGATGCTGTTAATGAGAAGTCGCCTCTTTTACTGGAAGAAAATGACTTAAAGGTCGAGGCTGAACAGAAAGTGGAGACTAAGGACACTGCTCTTAGAGAGGATCCTACTCAAGCTCATGTTTTGGCTCACAATGCAGAAGGTGTTAGTACAGGAAAGCATTCAGATATTACCAAAGAATCTGAATCCACTGCAAATCAAGAGGGTGTAGTGGAGCGTGATCATATACTTGCTCTTGAGATGGATCATGAGGCTGGGAATGCAGCAACTGCTGATAAAATGTCAATTGAAGAAAACAACTTTAATGTAGAGGGTGCTATAAAATCTCGAACTGTAACAAATTCTGGTGCTGATGTCCCTCCTCCAGTTGAAGAAAACAGCATTAATGTAGAGGGTGCTATAAAATCTCGAACTGTAACAAATTCTGGCGCTGATGTCCCTCCTCCAGTTGAAGAAAACAGCATTAATGTAGAGGGTGCTATAAAATCTCAGACTGTAACAAATTCTGGTGCTGATGTCCCTCCTCCAGTTGGAGATCAAATTGTAGAAACTTGTATTTCTCATACCAGCAATGCCGAGACGAATCAAGCCAATGAGTACCAGGATTCCTCGAAGGCAGATGAGGGTCTTGTTTTCCGTGCACATGCTGCAGTAATGAAGGTTGCCGATGAACCAGAGAAGGGTGAAGTAGAAACTTGTATTTCTCATACCAGCAATGCCGAGACGAATCAAGCCAATGAGTACCGGGATTCCTTGAAGGCAGATGAGGGTCTTGTTTTCCGTGCAGATGCTGCAGAAACGAAGGTTGCCGGTGAACAAGAGAAGGGTGAAGTTGAAAAGCTTCATGCTGATACTGTGCAGGAATCTTCAGAGCAAGACAAAGGAACTGAAGAAGTTGCTTCTAAGACTAGCCACACAGTGATGTTGAATGAGAAGCCTGTGAGCTTGTTGAAGATGCAACCTGGTTATCTCATTCCACCACAAACTGATGAGGACGAGTACTCTATATCTGATTTAGTCTGGGGAAAAGTCAGAAGCCATCCATGGTGGCCTGGACAGATATTTGATCCTTCCGATGCTTCAGAAAAGGCCATCAAGTACCACAAGAAAGACAGCTTTTTGGTTGCGTATTTTGGAGATCGTACTTTTGCATGGAATGATGCATCTGTACTGAGGCCATTCTGTTCTAATTTCTCCCAAATTGAGAAGCAAAGTAATTCAGAAACATTTCAAAATGCTATAAGCTGTGCTTTGGAAGAGGTTTCTAGACGGGTTGAGCTTGGTCTTGCTTGCTCATGCACACCTGAAGATTCCTATGATGAGATTTCGTGTCAGATTGTGGAGAATACTGGGATTTGTGAAGAATCAAGCAAAAGATATGGAGTGGACAAATCAACTGGAGTCACTTCCTTTGGACCTGACAAGCTCATGCACTATATGAAAGCATTAGCCCTATCACCAACTTGTCGGGCTGATAGGTTGGATCTCACCATTGCTCGAGCTCAGCTAGTGGCCTTTTGTCGCTTCAAAGGATATCGTCTGCCACCCGAATTCTTGTTAAGTGGAGAATTGCTGGAAAATGATGCTGAAGTTCCACAGGCGGACAGTGCAACTGACGAAAAGGGCCATGCTTCAGAAGACAGCGAGCAACATCCCACCGGTAAAGTCTCTGCTCACAAACGTAAGCATGGTTCAAAAGGTATTTCCCAGACGAAAAAGAAAGAGCGAAGCATGTCAGAGCTTATGGTTGATGTGGAATATGAGTATTCTCTACATTGTGAAGATGACCAAGATGGAAAACCATTCACTTCTAGCAAAAAGAGGAAGGCAGTTGATTCTCTTACTGATGGATCGGACAAGAGAACAAGTGTTTATGCAGCTAAAGTGTCACCCAGAGCGTCTGTATCCCCTAAGCCGTCCTTCCGTATTGGTGAATGCATTCAAAGAGCGGCAAGCCAATTAACTCGTTCAGCCTCACTTCTGAAGTGCAACAGTGATCAAACTGGGGCTGATGTTCAATTGCAGGACTCTCCAAATGGAAAAGTTGTGACTCCGACTGAATTGCCTTCCCCGAATGAGTTGCTCTCACAACTTCAGTTGGTGGCATGGGCACCACTGAAAAGCTACAACTTCTTAAAAACTATCACTTCTTTCTTTTCGGGTTTTAGAAATTCAGTTGTTTTGAGCCAGCATTCTCGGAGGCAGAATTCATCGGCCGGAAGACCTAGCGGTGGTCGAAAGAGGAAAGCTTCACAAACTGTAGCTGGGCTTGCTGAAGAATTTGAATTCGATGATGTAAATGATTCTTATTGGACAGACAGGATTGTACAAAACCATGGTGAGGAGCAGCTATTGCAGAATGGTCAGAGTGGGGAAGGAGAACGTCAGCTTACGGTTCATGATCCAGAGAAACCCAGTAAACCAGGTCGTAGACCATACTCCAGAAAACGAAAATCCAGTGCGGACGATGACACAACGCCAGGTGTTCCTCCTGAGGACATTGAGAAGAGGAAGCATGAGCCAGCAGAACTCATTTTAAATTTTGCAGAAGGTGGTCCTCTTCCATCTGAAATGAACCTTAATAAAATGTTTAGGCGGTTTGGACCGCTGAAGGAGTTAGAAACTGAAGTTTATCAGGAGTCTTCTCGTGCTAGGGTGGTCTTTAAAAGGGGTTCTGACGCAGAGGTTGCTCATAGTAGTGTGGGAAAGTTCAACATCTTTGGGTCACGGCAAGTGACTTACGAGCTCAGCTACACACCAGTTATCTCATTTAAGCCGATGCTCATTACACTTGCAGCAGATCTGGAGGGAGCTATTTGATGATACAGTTCCAAGATGGTGGTAGTTCCAGGTAGCTATTCACTCATTATAGATGCACTCTTGAAAGTTATACATTTGAATGCTGATTCGGAAAGTAACAACCCTTCATTATGGCCTTTGCTCCCCTCCCTCCCCTTCCTCGAAAAAGTTTTCATGTGCTCCCTTTATTTCGTTCATGAGAAATTGTGAAGAAGCCCTAAATGTTCACTATTTAAGAAATTAGTTGTAGAAAGTCTTCTCACTATCTAAATTGTGGTCCGTTCCTATCTCCTAGATATGGTATTTTCTGAACTTCTTAAGGCTACCTTGCTGGAAAACTTTTAACTATTATTTTTTGCTAGTGAAAAACTTCACCATTATAGTTTCCCGGGGTCGAGTTCAAATTTTAACTACATTTGATGATTGGGAAAATACAGCCCCTTCTACTTTGTTGTCAAGTTGCTGCTTTATTCTTTGTATGTTGGATGTTATCTTCCTTCACATTTAAAAACAAAAAAATTAGCTTTCAGCGCAACTGTCTTTGCTCAGGATCCTTCTTTTACTGACTGCTATTCTGCTTTGTATTGTAGTTTGAAGAAGAAATGACTATGCATGGACGACCAACAGTAACACTTTGATTAGAGTGGATTTGCTGGAGTAGAGGGTGACCAGAGACACAGATGCATCTTTTTGTATAAAAGACCTCATTTCTGTCTTATGTACTTTCTTATCTCTTTGTAGTGGCGAAAAGAAGAGTTGTCCCTCCTGCTGCATTAGAAATGATATGTGCATGATGATCGATGTCGGCAGTGTTCATGCTTATTATCATCTTCTCAGTTCCCTCTTGATTTTTCTGGATGAATGAAGATGAAATTTTTGGTGTTGGTCTCGTATGATGTAAGTAAAGGAATTTGTTCACGAACGCTTCGGGATGTTGTTGAAACTTAATGGCAATTAAGTTAGACAAGTGTAGTCGGCCTAAGAGATTTGTCAAGCTTAAAAAATATGAAGTGAAACAAGACTCCTGAAGCTCATTTTCTGGTTAGGTGCGTATTTCCTTATCAGGAACATTTTGATACCACTAATTTGTGAGACACTAGTTAACTTACCCACGCTCGTGCGATTCTAATATTATCATCAAATTCTAACTTTAAAACATGCGACTTTAGTAAATGTCATGTCACCTTAAATATGATCAGTTTCAGTTGATCGAAAGATAGGCTAATTACCAAGTATAACTGAGGTGAAACATAAACTCATCTTTTCTCGAGTTTGTCCTCCTGCTCTATTGTTGTCCGTCATTTCTTCTCCTTATCTTGTTGCACTCAGATTCCTTTCATTTGTATCTAGAATTATATAATTCAAAATTTAATATAGCAATAGTGTTTATTTCTTATTTCTATGATATTATGTAATAAGCTCATACTCAAATTATGAATTCAACCCGTAATAAAATGAGTTTATTTGGGTTAAAAATCTGTGCAATAGAAATTTAAGAATATATATATGAGCTTCGGCCCGTGCTAGTATGTGATTGAATTTTCTGTATGTATGCAAAATTTTAAACTTATTTATCTGGTTTTAATTACGTTTTCCTTTTTACAGAAAGTAACTAAAGTTTTTTATAAAGAACATACAAATTATGTCATACACTACAGTTTATATACAATTTGAACATAACTTTTTGGTGTACAAATGACATACAAAAATATATATACAATCTATTTATTTACTCTTTGAGTTTCAATCTAAAATTTCATTCAAAATCAACTCGAATCTTCACCAAATTGATATATAAACGCCAAAGGGTATTTCAATTACTTGCGACGTCTAATTCAGATAAATAATAATTTTGTAAGATTTTATTTTTGAATTCAAACCTTCGAAACTTTTATGGGTTAATGGAGTTCAAGCTAAGTCTTTACGTTTCACACGTCTTTAAAAATTGTGTATAAATGAATACATAAATAAGTTTCACATAAAAGAACAAATAAATGGTTTCAGCCTCGCCTTCAACAGTGTTCCTTTTTTTTTTTAAAAGTATCTTGACTTTAGCATTATTAGGATGACGTAAAAAATGATGTGATAGTTAACATGGATCAATTATACGCGATGTGATTTTTTTCAAGGAAGCTTTAGTTCGTCCCTTTTTTGGGATAAGTTTATCCTTCATAGTTTAAAAACGAAGACGGGAGGTGCAGTAAAAAATAAGGATTTCTGGCCTATAAGTTGGTAAGAGTGTGTAGGCCTATCTCTATATATGTCACAGAAGTGGCAAGCGGGCGGGTCGGGTCGGATATGGTTTGGATCGAAACGGGTAATAAAAAATAAATAAATTATCCGACCCGACCCATATTTAATACGGATAAAAAACGGTTTAACCGACGAATAATATGTGTAACTATATTATCCATGACTTCTTGCATATGATCACTTTTGGGAGAATTCTTAGTCTCCCTAACTTGAGGAACCCCCAATTTGAGGCTTTACAAATGTAAAAGTTAGATTCATTGGTTATCCATTTCTAAATGGATAAAATGGTTCTTATCCATATTTGACCCGTTTTTAAAATGTTCATTATCCAACCCATTTTTTAGTGGATAATATGGGTGGTTAGCTATTTTCTTTTAACCATTTTGCCACCCCTAGTATGTCAGATAGAGTTGGGTGGAATGGGGGAGAAAGAAGAGAGAGAAAGAATGAGGAAGATTGCAGTCTAAATACATTATTTTGTATAAAATTGGTAAATTATATATCAAATATTATAAAAGCATTGTAGAGTTGTATAAAACTTTCTAATATGTGGATTGGAACTTATTCTAAATACTCATAAGCGTTTTTTGCTTAACACACAAGTAGACCTGTTGTTTTGCAACAACATCGCAGAGTTGTATAGAACTTTCAATTCTATGTACTGAAATTGCTAAACATAAGATTGTATAGAACTTTGAAATATGTGTACTGAAATTGCTAAATATATAGTTTTTTCAACACATGAGTGTGACAAAGTTTCCATCTGTAATTTTCTCCATGAAACCAATTTTCTCCTATCTCTTACTTACATCATAACAAACATGTTTGTTACATCTTTTACCTTTTGGGATAAGTTTTGAATACCTCAATAAATGACAGTTAAGATAAATAAATACTCTAAAAATAAATAATACAGAACAAATAACCACATCATGTGTAAAGTAGCAACTTGTAATCTAAATGGATTTTCTTTGCTAAACAACTTAAATGAATATGGTGGTTTTCTTTTAAAATTGTCCTACTTTAGAGAGTGTTTGGCCAAGTTTTTATGAAAAAAGGCTTTTAAGTATTAGCATAAGTTATTTTTCAGAAGCTGAAAAATAGCTTTTCCCTATAAACACTTTTGAAACCTAGGTCGAGCATAAATTGTTGTTCTAATATTGAGATTGAAACATAAATTGTAGTAACTCTCTAGTAGTACTTTTTCTGAAATAGTTTTGACAAAAAGATCTTTTCAAAATAAATAAATTTAGGAGGTTTGGCCAAAATGCCTGTTAAATTGGGTAAAACTATTACTATAACTTAATTAGCGCCACAGCTTCTTACAAAATATATTATCGGATAACTTTGTTGAAAACCCAATTGGAGCTCCATAGAATTGTTTTCGTTATATTTCCTAACAAATATCAAATGTTTACATTTACAAAAATAAATTTAGGCAATTTTTCAAATTAAAACAAATAATATTCCCTAATTGTTGGAGCTCATGCTCAACTTACTAATGAATCGACCTTTGCGAGTATCCCTGATTTTCTATAATTAACTTTCAAGATGTGACTAACTTATTATATTAGTCTATTACCTTCTTTTTTTTAAAATTGCATTGCAAATACCAGTGTATTATTGTTTGTTCGATTTTTTTTACTATATTTGTTAACTTTATATTTGTTATGATCACTATTTTTTATTTAAAATTAATGTATTTGTGTCTTTGACCATTTTGTAAAGATAATAATCTACAGAATAAGTTAAGTCAAGCTATTATAAAAATTATTTCTAAGGAGGACATATATAGGTAAAAAGACTGGAACGATTGGGTCCCAATGTTGCGGTGCTATTAATGACGGATGTTGTGGGTATTTTGTCCAAATAAGGAAACGCACAATACACAAGGCAATCTAGTACTACAAGATTAAAGCACAGTTGTGCGCGAAATGCCAAAATTGTCCCTGGTCGGCAAGCTGACATGGCGACCTTCAGCTACTTCTCTCGCTCTTCTATATATTAATAGATGTCGTTGGCCCGTGCTAGCACGGGCCCAACAATTTATGTTATATTGTATTATCCGATAAAAATTTGATGTGGTGATTAATTTAAAATTTGTTATCAAGTTAAATTTACTTTTTTCCAAATTGTATTTGGGTAACCAACAGATCCATTTGCAACCCCTTTGGAAATATTACCTAAATGGTATTTCTTTCCTGTATTTCAAATATTTCGTACAGTGCCCAATAAATTATTGGGGGTTCTTTTAATGGTTTCAGTACCTGTGGGATTATTAACAGTATCTTTTTTAGAGAATGTTAATAAGTTCCAAAATCCATTTCGCCGTCCAGTAGCGACGACTGTCTTTTTGATTGGTACCGCAGTCGCCCTTTGGTTGGGCATTGGTGCAACATTACCTATTGATAAATCCCTAACTTTAGGTCTTTTTTAAATTTTTAAATTGATTCAATTGTGAAATAACACGACATGTGTATCTAGGGAATAGTTTCTTCAAAGCGAATTCTCCCTAGATACATCTATTCAATTTAATTCTGAATTTATTTTGAATATATGATATNTATATATTAATTGTGCCAAAGATTTTCAATCTATTTTCACTAAGTAAGTCCAATAGATTTAAAACTTATTTTTTGCTAA